ACTGAAGCAACGAGCATGAAACTGAGCAAACTCAGGGAGGCAGTGAAGGACAGGAAGGCCTTGTGCGATATGGTTCATGGGGTCACGAAGAGTCAGACACAACTTAACGACTGAACAACAAAAACAGCTGGCTTCTGACAAGCAAAGTCAATGGGGAACCGCATGATTCACTTAACAACAGTGGGGATTTGCTTAACGACCATAGTAAAAAAGGTTGTAAGATCAGGTGCGATCACGTGATGCCTTGCTTAACAACCACACCTCTCAACAATGAATTTTCCAGTCCCTATTGTGTTCATAAGTCAAGGACTACTTGTATAAATGAAGAGTGGAGGAACTAAAACTCAAGAGTAGATCCCACTGCATTTAGTAGAACATGTTTCCAGACAAGCATTGCTTTTTTTTTTTAACCTTCCATAAAAATCTAAGCGCATGATATTCTGGATCCAAAGCCACAAAGGGGAGCTTTTCTAATGTTATGTGTGCTTAGGAAGGAAGGAAAATATGTTACCATGAACTAAGGACATCTGCTACTGTGATGTAATAGCTGAAGTCTTGGATTTAGAAAGGGTTCAAATCAATCCTCAGCAACAATGTGATTTGAAACAATTATTATAAATTTTAATATTAATCAACCTGCCAAGAATAGTGATGACAATTTCTACATATCCAGTTGGGAAAAACCCCACTTTTTCTATTTTTTGTCTTAAATTATATAGCCTATTGTATTTTTCAACTTGCCTCCTCCATGTTTTTGTTTCTTGTGTTATCTATTTCTATTAATTTTTATCTGTGCTACTGCTTGTGCTAATGCTTTGCGGAAAACTATTATTTGCTCATTCACTGCAAATCATGCAGGTGGCAGCATCTTTCTGATCTTGTCTAAAGATCTATAGAATCTATAGTCTATTGTCAAGCTAAGCAGAGTCAGGTCTGGTTGGCATTTGGATGGTAGAACTCCAGGGAACCAAAGGACTATAGATTAAACTATAAAATTGAAAAACAAGTAATGACAAACCACATCCATTCTGATACCAAGAAAGCAATTTTAATAACTCCATGAAATCAGCAGGAAGCATGCCTGAATCAAAAGAAACTTCCACTTTTTTTATGATATGCAATCCTGTCACCAAAACTGCCTTAGTCATAGAAAAAAAGAGGTGAATCAGTGGATACCCAATGAAATCAGTGGGCATTTTTTTTTCTTTTCTTTTTTTTTTTATGCTAAATACACCACTATATTTGTTAATGAGGCAGGAAGGCAGAGGATAGTAAGTTGGAGGTTTGCCACAGAGTGTTACAAAGAAAATGTTACAACATTTCATGGGGAAAAAGTTGGAACAGAAGGAAGGATTCCATCACGTTAATTTTTAATCCTTAATCTTACTCAAGGCAACATTTCTTCATAACATACTAATGTGAGGCAAGTTTTGGAAGCACAACTTGATAAGCTGATGCAAGTCTGATTTCATGTTTTTGGTAATCAGTAGCTTGCAAGACAGAGTTTTGATATGCAACTTATAACACATAAAGCAAGGATTATAATTTCAAGCAAATGATACCTTTTGGCTGAGGGGGTAAAAATTCTAAAAACTCATCCCAAGAACTTCAAAACAAGTTATTAAAGACATATACAAAATAAATAGGAAAAAAAACATAGCACAGATACAGTGCATTGGCAGGGAAACGCATACATAAAATTACTAGATGGTCTTAAACTACTATCTCAAAGTTCCTGCAATATGAACATTCAATTAAAATAAATTGCCTTGTTTTCCAATTTGGTTATAGAATTAGCACATGCAAAGCATTTTGAACTTGTGAAAATGAACACTATAAATGCTACATTAGAACTATAAATTTGGAAGCCCAATTTATTTTAAAACAGCTGGCACCAAACATTTTAAATGTTTTTTTTCCCCAATTCATTTGGCCTGAAATGAGTTGTGTATGTTAAATCCCACTGCTTAAGTTTCCAATGGCCTCTTCCAATGGCTGTCAGTGTTACTTAAGGATATAAGGGACAAATATTTAATGTGACTCATCTATGGAGAAACTAGCCTGTATTTTTTTTAATGTGGAAAAAATATTGTGGTATTCTTGAAAGTTCTATGCTTGCTCCAGCATAGGATATAGTCGCAAGATCTCTTAACCGTAATAAAATCAAGAAAAATTAACACACAAGTTTCCCATAGCAAAGAGAGCTTCCATATAATGAGGCATTATTGCTTTACATACATTGCCAATGTTACTCTCCTGCATGATGACCAATTTTTCCACTACTTACCAGATTCCTGAAGCAACTGGAACACACAAGTTGTTGTTGTATTTGAGATTGCAGCCTTCCCTTCCATGATGTTCTTTCTAGCTGCATTTCCAGCAGTTATTTGGTCTTTTGATTGCAGCAGAACACATCCCGGGTAAGTTGGCAATTCATAAACTTCTTTTGTTTTTCCCTCGTTTATTTTTTTGCCCAGTTTAAGTTCTGGAGAAATAATTGGGAGAGATATGAACATATATGAAAACAGGGCATTACACTTAAAAAGGTTTATAAAACAAATTTATAAAACAAATGTGTGCATGTTTACTGAGAAAGTTCTACTATATTCGGGGCATCTTAAACATAGGAAAGCACCCACTATCTGCAATTTAACATTTCTTTTGAATATCAAAGACCGCAATTCATTCATTTTGTTCACCAAATGCCTTGTTTGATTTGGCTTAATAGTAAGTGGTATATAAACTATGTCTTCTTTCTCAGAATGTGTTCTCACAAACTTAGCCATTTTTTTTAAAGACACATGAGCTGTGAATGCTATAAAAGGCTTATTTTGGTTTTGCTTTTTAACTCTTGAAGGAGGAGAGAGGGAGAGAGAACCACCTCACACTGTAAGACGCCTGCTGAGAAGAGGGAAACAGAGTTGAAGTCTTTTCAGTTCCTATGGTAACAAATGGATCACTGAATACAATTCATCAAATAGTCCAGATAGTCACATGGAGCAACCGTTCTTTACTTTCCTTGGGTGTCTGTTCAGTTTCCAGGCTGTGGTAATTCTCCACATACAAACAATTATGAAGGAAAATAGTCTATATAAATCTTTAACGTTTTGCCTTTTTAAAATTCTACCTTGGGAGACAAAATGAGAAGATCTGCTAAATTTCTTCTATTTACACAAGGACAATTCACCCATTGAACTGTGGCTTCTGCGTATCAGTTGTCCCTCTCCCTCAAAATGAAAACTCAACTCAATAACTTTTCCTTTGAACCAAGCACACATGGCTGTAATCATTGTACATTGTGCTCCTCTTGTGAGGACATTTTAGGGAGCCGCCCTTGATCCTGTTAAGGCAACAAGATATTCAACCTCACATCTCTTTAAGGTGTTGAACTGTCATAAGCTGTTAATGATTTGGTGCCTCTCTGGGGTAGCAAGGAGTTGTAATGGGCAAAGTGATATTCCAAAGTTGACCAGAATCTTTATACAGAGCTGATCCTGAAAGAATGGAGGGGGGTTTGCTTTTGTTGCTAAACTGAGTTAAGCCTAGCTTTGAATGGTTTTTATGATCACCCAGGAGATCAAAATGTCAGGCAACAATGCTACTGATTTTAAGAAACTGTAGTCACCAACAGCTCTGCGGGCCACAAAAAGCCCTTGACCCTCAGAGTGATCACCCCTACGTTAAGGACCACTAGATTTGCCAGTTGTAAAAGAACGGGAATGGCAAAAGAAACTTAAGGGTCCTTGCCTTGCCCTTTGTTCTACTCAAGAGTTATTCCTTTAATGACTCTATACGCTAGCAAGACAGCAATATGACCAAACCCTAAACGCATGTTCAAATAATTTGAGATGGGGAGGACAGGCCCAAGAGGGCAAAATCTCAGGAAAACAATAGAAACACCTCAAGCTTAGGTGGGTAATATTTTGCATGATAACTTGAACTAGTTTGTTTAGCAGCCTCACTTAAACAAGCTTTTCCTTCCCTTCCCAGGTAACAAGAAATAAAGACACTTATAATGTGGTAATAATAAGAGTATTTCGTAAATAAAATACTACTGCAACACTTAAGTGAGATTGTCTAGTAGTAATGTATTACTGATGAATTGGTGATAGAAGTTAATTAGAAGCTGACATCTGTTGTCCTCTTCAAGATTAAAACAGAGGTGTCCTTAGTTAAATATAATAACTAGGTAATGATGGGCATAGAATAAAAAGTACAGAAGGAGGATTTCTATCCAGATGGTACACCTAGAACACTCAATGAGCAGGTCATTCATTTCTGTGGCCACTGAAACTGTTTCCTGGAAAAATAGAACAGTTAAAAAAGCAAAAACAAGCAACTATGAACCTTGGAATGTTCCAGAGATAATGTTAAGAAAACAAGTATGAAGAAGTTTAGAGAGACCTGTGCATTTTACTAAAAATGATAGTTATGAGCAATAAATACTATTATTTATAAAACCAGGTAAAGACCTAACTCAAGCCCCATTTCCTTCTGTATTACACCTTAAATCTCTGGGCAGATTTCTGATTTAATGTCAATCCAGCTTTTTCTCCCCAGTGCCATTTCCCACCCTTTTTTATCAACTTACTTGAGTCACTGGTCTGAGATGGGTGGCTATATAAATTGAATGAATGAATGAATAAATATTATCTAGAAATCTCAAAGACTTGCAGAATGTTATGAAGCCAGTTTGGTCTAGTGGTTAAAGCACCAGGCTAGAAACCAGGAGACTATGAGTTCTAGTCCTGCCTTAGGCATGAAAGGCAGCTGGGTGACCTTGGGCCATGCACTCTCTCTCAGCCCAACTCACCTCACAGGGTTGTTGTTCTGGGGAAAATAGGAGGAGGAAGGAGTGTTAGGTATGTTCGCCAACTTAAGTTATTTATAAAAAATTAATAAAGTCGGGATAAAAAAATGGAAATGGAAACTCTGAATTGACTAAGATATTACTTTAGCATAGAAGTTTGAAATCTTCACTTAAATTTCTCCAGTCTTCTGCGAAACTGCCTACCCAAATCTCAAAACTGATCCATACAAAATCTGATACTTGGAGAATATGCATAAGAAAACAAATTCAGTTGTTCAGATGTATGCTGCATATACTTTACAGATTATCTGATCTTGAAGCTTCATATTGCTGAAATTGCATATAATACATAATGGGAGACATCATTAGGCTGCAAATTTTTCAGGACTACAGAGGGAAAAAATCCAACAAAAACTTCACATGCCTATTGAGTTCTGAATCCAGTATTACAAGTTTTGTTCCATGAGTAACTAAGCTGGAGAGCTGTATCATTGTAATGAACAGTAGAGGCAGAAGAGCCAATCACCCTTTGGGCCAAGGTGAATATAAAATAACCTGTATGCTGCCGAGAGTTGCCTGCACTATGGAATCTTCTTCCCGCTGAGGGGAGGCTGATCTCATAATTGTTGAGCTTCCAGAGGTCCCTTACGACTTGTCTATGCCAGCAGGCCTGGGGACCCCAGGGGACGGGAGATTTAGTGAGGTGGCTCTCTTATTTTTATCATCCTTTTATTCTTTGATCTATTTCAATTTTTATATTTTTAATGCATTTATTGACTCTTTTTAACTTTGTTGTATGCCACCCAGAGTCGCCTACGGCGAGATGGGTGGCTATATAAATTGGTTTAATAAATACATTAAATAAATTGCAGTTTCCCTCCGGTCTTTTGGGCATGCAACCCAAAACCCATATGGAGAATTACAGCACTCCCCGCAGGTCTTCTCCAGCCTTCCCATAAGACACTTGGGTGGCTTAAACTATTTCCCTTTGTAGTGGAGACCGACCATGGGAAGGTAAATAACTGAAGTGAAATGTGACCAGAAAAAAGTTTTGAGTGTGCAACAGCCAAGTTTTCAGAACGGCTTAACTCCCGAGAAATGATGGGACTACAACTGCCAGCTTTCCCAGGCAGAAGAGCAAGCAGGCCCGCGGCTCCCAACATCTCTGGAGCTCCCCAACGGGACAAAGGCGAACCGAGATTGCACTGCGCACAGACCGCGGTGGCAGAGATAAAGGTAGCCTGTACCACCGGACCGGGCAGTAGGGAGTCCTTTTTTTGATCAATACCCCTTACCTAAGACTCTACCTAGATCCCACAGCGCGAGCGGTTCCAACCCAGCGCCGCTCACTTTTGACTTAAGAGAGTTTCTTTTGAACATCGGCAGCCTCCAAAAAGTGAAACCTGGAAACGGTGGAGAGGAAGCTGCGGCTACTACCGGCGACCCACGTGCGCTCAGCCCGAATAAGGCGCAAGCAGGCAGCCAAGTTGAGTGCGGCCAGCAGCGCCTTCCTTCCGCGGATCCCGCTAAGGCGTGCAAAGCCACTCACCTGAATGTATCGGAGCCATTGAAGCGAGAGGAGCGGCGGCCCGGGACGCCTAAAAAGCAGAAAGTGAAACACGTGAAGACGAGAGGAGCAGCGCAGCGCAACCTGCCAGGGAAGCCCGCGCACTTCCAAGAGGGAGGAGACCTAGAACGCGCGTGCTACTCGGGGTGCTGAACTGGCGGCCGGGCTGCGTAAGAAGGGGGAACAGCGGAAGGGGCCGGCGAAGCGGGGTGGAGATTAGCCGCGAAGCCCACCAATGGCCGCGGCTCGCGCAGGGTTGCGCTCCGAAGTGCACCACCCCAGGCGCATTCTTCCTCCCCGATCTCCTTGTTCCGAGCGGGGGCGGGGGGGGGGGGGGG